ATGAAGTGTTGCCAATAAAATATAATACAAATAATTACTAATGTCAAATATAATAAAACGGTACCATCCCTTTGTAACAAGTAATTAATCAAAAAATTCAACTATGAGAAAAATACGTGTATCATATTCGCTACGAAAGAGGGTCTACAAGCAAAAACGATCCTAAGCGCTCTCCGGAACCGCTAAGTCGTTTATTGCCTGACCGTCCTCGCACATCTGACCCTTTCTAGCTGCTTCGCTGGTGGCCTTGATATTGACGACATAGCTTTGCATTCTGATAATAAAAAAAAACGGTCCATCCGATTGGGGTTTTTGAAAAAGTAACAGATTCCAAATAGTTTTCATGTTACACCGAGGTAAACGACAAAATTAAAATGAGTTTTCAGGGCAAGCGTTTATTCGTGTGTGTAACTAATACCTCGACCAATAAAAATGAGTGTTTTTAATTATACTGATTCTTTTTATTTAGTTTTAGAAAATAAAAATTGAAATAAACCAAAATAATACTCTAAAAATATTAAAAAAGGTTTGTGACTATTTGATTTCAAAAATTCATTGCAAACTCATTCAGAATTATTACTGTTCTGTCGTATTCTCACAAAATCTTAGCAAAAGTTGACATCTTTTTAAAAAATATGTAGCTCCTCCAAAACTAAATCCGCGGCACGTCACAAAGCGACCGCCAGCAAATTAAATTTAAACGCACTCGGAGCCATTCGTGACGTGCAAACGTGCAACGGATTTAGTTTTGGGTGAACCATGTTTGCAATATCGAGCGAATTCTATATACAGCCGAAACTCTTTACTCATTTTGACTTCCTTAATATACAGTCTAATAGTAAAACATACCTTGTCACTTCTTGTATATATGAGAAACTTCATCGCGGCATCATCGCGGAGTCGTATATGGCAGAAGTGAGAAAGAGTGTCTGATGTCCAATAATTTTGAAAAAAAAAATCATTACCCCTCTTATGCGAAACCATATATTTAAGCCCCCCTCATCATATATGCATAGAAAGTTTTATAATATACGTCTCGAAAATAGTGGATGTTAGGCCGCCCGCTTCACGTAGCGGAAGTCCCAACTTAACAAGTATCAATATATATATGTATATGTATATATATATATATAGTGTTCGAAGTGTTTTCGGAGCGCGAGCATTGAAGATGCCAAGTGAGATTTTGGCGAAACGTCTGCAGGATTCCAGTCGGATGCAAGATTTGCAGGATTCCAGTCGGATGCAGGATTCCAGTCGGAGTTCAACGAGCGAACGGATGATATCCCGGAATATAGTGTCATCACATTTTTCCATCCGTGAATCAATACGTGAGAATATATATATATATATATATATATATATATATATATATATATATATATATATATATATATATATATATATATATATATATATATATATATATATGTATATATAATTTTTTTTGTTGGATGGGTTTCTGAAAAGTTCACTAAATCACTGTTTGATTTATTGCTTCAACTTAAAGTCATGGCCAACTGGGACTGTTTAACCAAAAAAGTGAAGAGAGAATTACTATTAGGGATTTTTTTAAAAATAAATTGGCAACGAGTTCTTATTCGGGAGTACTTAGAACTCAACTATTTCAATTAATTTATGGGTCAATTTTGATAATTCTTTTTTGCTGGATAGATCTTACTAAAGAGAAATAAAACGGTTTTTTGGTATAGCATCGACTAGAGTCATGGCTAACTCACACAGTTTTTTGAAGCGGAAAATCGAGAAACACTTTTAGAGATTTTTTCAAATTGAAAATGGCAACAGATTCGTGTTCGGACTATCTATAGGTAACTAGACCTTGACGAAAGTTTTTAATGTTTTGAAACAATAAATATTGTAAACTTGTAAACAAAGATTAGTTTGTATTTCAAAGCGAATGACAAAAAGACATGTTAAGTGACACTTACTTTTTAGTATCATCTTAAAACAACAACATTAGTATATCTCAGTATTCGAAAGATGTAAACAAAATTAAGATCTAAATTAGCGATTGAATTTTACTGTAAAATATTAGCTTCTCCGTAGCAAACTTGGTTTTAAAAAATATTTATATTTTTCTGTCATTTTCATTATTAGATGAGAATTAAAAATCCCTTTTGATTAAAAAAATACAACGTTGTAAAGTCTGTTTAGTTCATATCTAATCGTCCCTAATCATATTTAATTTTAAGAAAATCGTTGGTGTGTTTCAGGGAAATCTATCCAACAAAAATGAATTATAAAAATTGAATTTCATGGAAATTAGTATAGTTAGGTTTTATGTAGTGCTGAATAAGAATTCGTTGACACTTTATTCTTAAAGAAGTTCCCTTTCGATATTCGACCTTCAAAATTGGTCCCACTTGACAATGACTTTAGGTTGATGTAAGAAGAAACATCAGAACATCAGGTTTTAGTTCGTTCTTGAGAGATCTATCCAACAACAAAAATTATCGAAATCAAACAGTAATCAAAGATTTTACAAAGGTGTACAGCCTTAAGCAAGGCGAAAACAATATTTCAAACACAATGTATTGTATAAAAATTGGTATAGTTGGGTTTTAAGTACTCCTGAATAAGAATTCGTTGCATATTTATCTTTTTAAAAATTTCTAATTGTGGTTCTCCCTTTTGTTTGGCCATGACTTTAAGTTGAAGCAATAAGCAAAACAAAGTTTCTTGTGTATTTCTCGGAGACTCTCCAGTTATCCAACAAAAAAAACTCAAAATCGAACCAAAAACAAAGATTGTACCAGGGTGTACAGTTCTTAAGTGGGTTACATCATATATAAGCCGGCAAAAGAATGACATCTTAGAATGTTTTAAAACAAAACTTTTTGAAGCAGATCTCAACATTGCTGTTAGTTCACATTACACGAATTTTTACTCAAGCTTTGCACCCTGATCTACCAGTCACCTATTTAAATTGCTAATTGTCAATGTCCAGTTTAAAAATTATACGTTAGATCAGATTTACTTCGTATGTAGCACTAATCAGTTTGAAACAATTTCCAAACTTTACTTGCCCGATGTACCGCCTTAAAACATTTGAATTTACGTGGGACAAAGCGTCTTGCTTATTTTAATATAAGTGTATTATAGATCTGCCTTTTTAAGGAACGATTAAACATAAAACTATATTTTGTAATAACTATCATATTTTATCTGTGCATTTCCAATCACATGTTGATAGATTTTTCGATATTTGTTTACTATTTTGTTTTTTCGGTTTACAGTAATGTCTGATGCTGATTTCTTGTTGTAGAAATGAAATTTCTTGCTAGCAATAACAAATTAGATTGAATAGTAAAAACAATATTCATTTTCAGTCAATTTTCATAAATGTAGGAAACACCGTTTGTATTGTAATTGTAAAAAGCAAGAAATGCAATATTTTGGATAATATTTGTTATTTTTTCTTTCCTCAATTTAAGAAACGTGTTTAAAAAATCGTGTGCTCTCTAGGAATACAGGTGTATACATTGAATTCCGAAATATCCATTACCGGCTAGTAGAAAGAATGCCTCTGAATATCAACTAATTAATTGTAGAATTTTTTTATTTAAATTGCTAATAAACTTTTATAAATGTGAGCTTTTAGGGCGAAATTTCCAAAAAACTCCATTTTTATTGAGCGGAGTTTCAATTTGTAACACTTGCTGCTAATACTTCTAATAGCTTCAAAAATGAAACGCTGGCTGACCAATCTTTGTATAATTTCTTTTTCTTAGAAATACATTAGTTTTTCGATAGAGTTTTCTATAATTGGCTAGTTCAGTTCAGGTTTCTTAAATTAATTAAGTGTACCGTTCAATTTATCTTGATAACATTGTAATTCGCTCTAACTTTTTTGTTTTTAGAGCAATCAAGGTAAATAAAAAAACAAAATGCAGGGTTAGTAGGAAAGTTTTTTTTCCAAGTGACGTATGAAACAAAACATTATCAATTTTCTAAAATGTAAGCCTGCATCATATTTTTTAAATGGTGCACCTTGTATATTATATATTTGTTTAATATAATATCGTATTCCCATTACAATGATTGCTAGTTTTTGACAAATCAAATTTTTATAAAATTTAAAATAATTATTATAATTAAATTAAACAAATATGTTTATGTTTGACATATTAGCAAACAATGTTGATGGTTGAATTATTGTCCAAGTCTTTATTTTTAAAATGGTTTTTAGCATCCGTGAAAGGAGTGATATGCTTCAACTATACTGTCTGAATATTAAAAGTGCAACCGCAGCTCGTCGTCAGTATATTAGACTTTATCCAGAGCGCTGAGCTACTTCAAAACAAATATTTCCAAGGCTGGCAAATACATTTGCAGAAAGCGGTAACGTATTAAATGCTAAGAAGGTATACTGAAATCATAATGTTTTAAATGAAGAAAACAATGCAAACATTTTAGGATTCGATGAAGCACATCCAGTTTCCTCTATTACTAGAATATATGAAGTATTTGTCGGGGATCAATCCAGCAGCAGTATTTATAATAGTTAAAGAATTTTTTACTTTACCTTGTCTTGTCATTTTTAGTGTTTTTGTTCTACTTTAATTTGTAAATAATTATTGTTGTTACTGTCAGTCATGGTACTCTTTGAAATTATATAAAAATTTCCTATTTTTGCCGATTTCTCAAAAACGAGTGGACAAAAATATAAAGTGTGTTACATCATTGTAATCTTAATAAGATATTATATTAAACACATATATAATATACATGGTGTTCCATTTAAAAAAATATGATGTAGGCTTACATGAACGAAAATTGATAGTGTTTTGTTTTATACGTCACTTGGGAAAAAACTTGACTACTAACCCTACATTTTGTTTTTTTGTTTACCTTGATATATCTAAAAACACAAAAATTACAGCCAATTAAAATGTTATCGGTACATTCAAAATTCTGAGTGATAAATATCAATCTATCTAAATTTTACATCAAGTCGTGTTCTTAGCGGGCAGAAATTTTACCCAGTATCGTAGCTGATGATTCTCCCATCCGTTTCTCCTACTTTATAGTGGAAGCCCCATTTGGCTAATTTTTCAGTCACTATATCCGCATTTTCGCCAATGAATAATTTGGATTGGACATGCTGTATATGGAAAGGGGAAACTGGCGTTTCGTTTTGGGCTGGAAAACATTAAGTTGTACTTAAACATTTTCTGATTATTGTAAATAAAAAATTTTGTAACACCCGCCTTATAAATAAAACTGCATTTTACACTAGAAAAGTTTCGTTACAAGTACTTAGGATAATTGGCGTCGACATTGGTTTTGCAATATTTTTAACATTATATTCTTACCATTTGTTAAACCCAGAATAAGCGGTAACCACCACAATACCGAAATAAAGCTCATGTCGTAGATTTAACTTTTTTGAACGTTGCCCTTATTATATAGAGCGTCAAAAACTCGTAATCGCTACCGACATCTTCATTTTAAACGTACAGGGTGTCTCAAATATTTTCTGTCCAACTCCTTAACGGAATATTTTGGTTAGTTGGAATTGCTTTATTAAATCTGCTTGACACTTGAATTTAGTTATTAGTCATTTTTATCATTGATTTAGGTATAGGTAAAATTCATTAAAATATTTTCCATATAAATACTTTTATATCACTATGGCAAATTTGACCAGAGTTTTTGCCCACATAGTGTCAAACACCTTGAAAATATTGTTCGATGTTTTTCACTTTATTTTCGAGTGATAGGTCTTAATGACCATACTAACGAAACTAACCACCAAGTACAAAGAACAATTACGAAAAGTCAAAAATAAATATCCGAAAACCCGTAAATTGACTTATAATTTTAAATTTAAATGATATTGATTCCTTTTCCAACAATTATTTCGTTACTTCTGGTCTTGTAACAGGAGTAAAAAAATCTGTTACTGTTACTACAGACAGACAGGCAGTTAAATGTTATACCTAATGAGACATTTTCTTAATCTTTTTGTTCTCGCAAATCTTGACTATACAGGGTGCTCGAAAAATACATACATACATTTCTTATTAAAAATTATCAAAAAAAAGTTTTTTATAAATATGGGTCCGGAAATGCAGGGTTTAGAAGTTACATTGTTATTATATTGAAAAATATATATATATATATTAGTAGCTTGAGAACTCGTGAGCGAATATTATTGTAAAAAAAATGTAAGCCACTGCTAAATTTGTGGCAGTATATTATATGCTTGATATCAAACTAAAATGTTTGGGCACAACATATTGCTTTTAATTTATACTGTGGTTGTTTTTTATACTATACTTTTATTATAGTCATAACTTTAGCATGCTAAAACAAAAAAGGTGCCCATAGGGCTAAGTCACCATAACCAAATATTCAATCACCCGTTTTTGCCATACATTTAAATTTTGTTGGTTATTTAAGAAAATTTCTTAATGTTTTAAAATAATTATTATGGTGTGAATATTTAATATTTTTTGAGCATCGTGATCCATTTGAAATTTTATAATTATGTTAACTCCACGAACTTATCCGGTATCCTCTGGTCTGACTTTTTTTTTTTCATTTTCATTTCAATCAGATTCAAGTAAATACCTTCCTGAAAATTAAAATTTAAAAATTAAAAATATGGAAAAGCAACATTAATATACTGATAAGAATTTTATCGAACATTCGATTTTTCTGGTTTTTGCTAGTTGGCAATATATAAAGGCCGCTTTGTATTATGGACGAATTATTTGCGATACTGAGTTCAGCCATAGTGTTATGGGCTGGTCTCCTCTTTATCTACCATAATATTTGAAAAGGATAATTTTGTAGAGATAAGGCTGTTTTTGTGACTCACTACTCTATTTCATATTCATGGACACAGAAGTCCATTGCCATTTTTTTATTTCAGTATTTTAACATATGTACGCAATTGGTATCAAAATAAGTAAGTGGAGTGGGCAGAATAAATAAAATTACATCGAGCTTTGAGACATTCCATTTCAAAGTACATCAACCAATTGTGACAAGTTCTCATTCATCCGGTCTGTCAACTCCAGGCCTGAACCTCTTGAACACATAACGAGCCAGTTTGGACCTTTCAAAAGTTTCCAAGATGAGCCCCCGCTTATCTTTGTCCGGAGCTATGACCTTATTTGTGTCACATTTGGACCGAATGGTACCGTCTTCATAAAAATAGAACTTCTGGTTTTCTGCTTGGTTGTCTCTGTAGGTTCCTATTTTGGTACCCCAACAACCCCCGCTAATATCTAGGACTTTTCTGAAAAAAATTGTGCGTCTTATTACGAGGCCATTATGTATAGGGTCTTTCAAATTCCACTCTCACAATAGAGGTTTCCGAAATTAGAGGATTCCGTATAGGTTATTCCCATAATAATTTATTAAAAATGGAATTTTATAGCACGGTAACACCAAATCTCGCTATATTCTAAAGATTTGTCAATGATACGTGACTTTGACAATGTATAATGATATAAAGAAGATCAAAAAACCCGAAGAAATTTATCTATACAAATACATTTTTTCAATTAAATTCAATAATTTGATCGGCTGATGGTTCAGCGATATATAAAAAATAGGTTAGACATATGTAAAAAAATGTGTATTGCGTAGAAAAAATAACGAAAGTACTAAGAATATTATGACAAAGTAAATATTGCAAATATTAACAACAGTAAGCATTGTTTTCTTGCCCATTTTCAATAATCTATACTCAGAGGATGTTTTTTTTAAAGCTTGAAGAATGTAACTGACAGTGAGCGGAGTATCAATATCAAATGTTCGATATGCAGATGATACTGTCCTCGTTGCTAATGATATTGAAGAACTCCAACGGATGTGTACCCGTTTAAATGACAGCAGCAACCAATACGATATCAACGACACAAAAAAACAATGATACGCGTTACAATGTAGAAAGAGTAAGACAATTCGGCAGCAGATATTAAATGCAGAAATGACGTGGTACGTGCGGCGTAGAAATCGTTACCTAAATATATCCTTTCAAATCCTATATGCGAGATAATTGGTACTTCTGAAAGCAGTGGGAGTCGTGGATCGTAAGAAGTGCCTTGGACAGAAAAAGAAGAAATATAAAGAGTTCATACAGATCGGGGAAAGAAGAAAAACGGCTTACCTTGGTTGCGAATTGGGAAAAAAATGATGTAATGGGCAAGAAATCTTAGACAGTCGACCGGATTAAGAACTATAAAAGAGCTTGTCAGCGCAGTTACTGACAGGGATCAAATTCCAAAATATAGTCACCAAAATTCCTTGAGTGGATAAGCAGTTTGATTGTTTTATTAAATCGTATTAAACATCTTTATATATCTCACTTTTTTTCTGAAAAAGTTTTTCAAAGTAATAAGTTAATAAGGATCAAGGTCACCCTGTGTCATAACTGGCGAGTCTCCCAAAGGTTTGACCTTCCAAATGACGAAAACCCCACATGTTACGGCTTTTTCCTAGCTTTGCGTCTTGGCCAATGAATAACTTGGTCTCAGCATGCTGAATATAGTAAAGTACGATTGGCGCCTGTCTCTGACCTGAAACACATTAATTTAATAAAATTTAATTGCGAAGTATTCATTCACCAAACAATTTTACCGTTAATAAAGCCGAAAATAGCCGAGGAACACAGGACTAGTGCCAGTAGAAATTTCATATTGCAAGAATAGCAATTTCATTAAACGCACTCCTATTATATCAACCTTTGAGAAATCCTAATAACTACCTTTAGCTTAACTATTAGAGACTTACAGGGTGCCCCAAATTTTTACCGAAAATTTTGATAGCGGGAAACAATGGGCTAGTCATCGGCAATCATAATATAATAAATTTATTTTATTTCCCTTTTAAAAGGCTTCTGATTCTAGTAATTATTAATGGAATGATTCGGTCTGACTTTTGCAAAATGTGCAAAACTCATTGTATTAATTCTTAATTATTTAAATATTTGTTTTTGATATTCCTCATATTTAGCACACACAATATTAAAGTACCTTGAAAATGAGTAGTAAATATATCTTATCACGTTCTCTAAAGGTGCTAATTACAAAACATACTAAACACATACAAACTCAAAAATAAATGTTTGCTAATAACAGTATAATCTTCATTACAACTATAGGAAATTCCCTACTCTAGGTACTTTAGTCACTAATTTGTTTGCGATCGAATATTGTTTGTAGATTTAACGTTAACGTTAAGCTACCAAACTCATAATAATGTAACTGCAACCTGCGATGGAAGACAGGAGGTATTAACTAAACTAAAATAAGCATATCCTTGCCCAGACGGAAGGGGTAAACTTCAAGTATACTACTTCATACACCTACTTTTTCCCTGTTGTAGAGCTGTAAAATGGAGGGCGTCTGGTAGTTGGCATTAAATGTACCAGCATTGATATGTATCTTAGAATATTCATAATTATTCTTAAAAATGGTGAGTTCAGTCGCTACCAAGATTTTTAACACGCACATTTTTAACAAGTTTGGAATTGTATACAAAATCTAAGCTGTATGTGAAAGGGACCTTTTCATTTGGAAATTTTAATGGTTTTCCCAATTATTCCACCATATGAAAAATAGAAAGTATTGTATATGGGACACGGGAATGCAGCTAAGTTGTAGAACCCTTGGGCTTTAACCAGGTTTAGTTCAATAGAAAAACTGCTTTTGAGATTCTTGAATTCACAGTTTCTAAGGCAGGCAGATTGTCAAACAGCAATTTTTCTAATTGTATCCTGGAAAAAGTAAAACTGCAACTGTCTTTCTATCTTAACATTTTCACAATGGTCAGCAATCCATTTGAAACTTGATAATAGCGTTTACATGCATAATCTGTGCAGCAATTTGAATCACGAGTTTATTTGACTTGAGCGGAGCGAGTACTTAATAAATGAGTGGGTGTAATTATATAATTAGGTGTATAATTAGGTATTTTGAAGAAGGAAGTAGAAACATATTTCCTTCATAAATTTGGTTTGTTGGTGGTTTGTTGGTCTGGAAGTGATATTTAACATGTCATTAAATTCACGAAATTAAATTCATTGGAGTAACAACACGACAAAGCGATGAAGCAAAAATAAACTGAATTTATTTTGATATAGTATTCTATTTCTCAAATTGTGACGACTGTGGAAACTCCACCTAAGAGCCACAATGGAAAAGAGTTTCAATTTCAATCGAAATATAATGTTATTACTTAACTAATACCCACAACAAATTATCTAATCATACCATTACCTTAGAGTTATGTTATTCTGTTATATCAGTTAGAAAATTAAATTCGTAGTGCTTCAATTTCGCAGAATCTCCAAAATTACTGTTCCATTATTTTTGTCCGGTATAAGCACTTTGTTTTTACCATATTTATTGCTTCCCTCTCCGTACTTCTCTGAAAATTTTAAGGAGATAAGAGCACTGTGTATTTTTCTATTTGATCTTGTTGGGGTTGGACGGGTACATATTTGAGTAAAAAATATCTGTTATTTATATTTTAAACCCCAAAACCAAAACTAGCACCACAATGTTAATCGAAACCATTCAATACCACCAACAGTAAAATTTACGAAATAAGTTACACGATCCCCTAAAATGACTAAATTTGCAGGACGTTCCTTTCCCCATCACTTGAACTTCGCACAGAGACAAAGAGTTACAGATATATTCTAACAAAAAATTTCTAATCTTACTAAACTTTGGCCAGGAGATTAAATCTGGCACTTGGGTGGCCCCTTAACTCTAGAATTCTGTATGTGTTAGTGCCGGCATTTTGCGCTGAACGTATACTTGTACTTTACCCTAGCAAGTTAATAATAAAATGACCATTTTCTTTTAATCTTTCACTCTAAAGGAACTTAAAGGAACTTTTTAACAGTACGAGTTAGTATCTAAAGTATAGATTATATTGCTTCATATGCCATCTAAGAGGGTATTTGTTTTCAAACTCTAATTGGTGCTCGCGAAGGTCACGCTGCATATTAGTTGGGGTAATCATTTCTAAATACCAATTTAGAAGATTTCCAATCCAGTGGAACAGACTAATGATTAATGTAACTAGCTACGTGTCAGAAACAATATTTCTCCTACTATTCAATTTAAATTACGTATTTATTATGATTGAAGTGTGTTTTCAAATGGTGCGGAGCAATGAAACCAGGGATTTCGCTCAAGACTACGAATTTTAATGGCAGAAAATATAACTCAGACGTTGTACATTGGGTAATGTTTCCTATACGTAATGAACATAGGTAAATACTCATAACGTTGGATCTTAATATTGGTTTATCGAACTATAGACCATTAAACAATATCAAGAGTAGAATATCGCTACGACGAATGGCAGATTTCAGTTGGTGCCAAACATGTTCAATAGGATTAAATATACAGTGGTCAGGTGAAAGCCTTAAAACTGTATACCCTAGATTTTATGCATAATTATCACAGACGTATTCCTTTTGTAGGTTCAAGCTTTGTAGAACCTCAATTAATTGCTTTTTGGTATAATTTTCGTGAAAATAAATGTCATTATTATACATGTAGTTTTGGTTTGTTGCTTATGTGTCACATGAGGGGTTTTAGTCAACTGTCTTCTGTGATAACTTGTATTGTCCATTACAATGACGCTATTAGGAGGAATGTTTGGAACTAGTCAACTGAGTCAACCCAACCGTTTTCCGGTGTATCATAAGTGCCGAACCAGGTTTCATCCAAGTAAATAATTCGCCTTTGTTGTTCTCTGTAAATCCTAATTTTTTCTAGATTTTCCAGTCGCCATTTCCGAATTCTAAAAGATTCCATTAAAACTTGCCTTTTGTCAATTTTTTTAAATCTAAAACCCATGTGTTGAATACACTTCCATAAGGTAGTTCTGCCACATCGAACACCGGTTTCATCTTTTTCAAGCCTCCTAATTAAGATATCTAATGTAGGCATGCTTTGTTCCTCGTATAACTAGTAAATTTTACGCCGTATTATATCTTGATCACTGTCATCTACACTCGAGAAAATGTCAGCACCGCATCTTTTTTTCCTCGCTGAAATGATATTATTCACAATTTTCCATGCAGTTGATGTTGGAATTTTCGGCAATGTGGCAGTCTCTTCTAAAGATGCTTGCTTACTGGCACCACGTTCAATGAGAGTCAAAGAAACATTGTTTATAACTTCCTTAGTCTCAATAGAATAGAGTTTTCTACATTTGTGCGGGAGCATCTCCTGAGATACACTAGACTGGCACATATTTTGCATAGTTCGCACACGCTGTATTACACATGAAATAAGAATGATTACTAATAAACTTAAACTAAGCAGTATACCAAACCAAATAATATTAAACGCAGGTAGGTATAAAATTATTTTCTGTTACGGACCACAATTTTACCTGAATTTAAATTCCGAAACTTTAGGTAATAATTTTGTTGCATTGTATGTTAATGACCACCCTTTTATAATCAAATTTAAAAGCAATTGGTCACTTTCTTATTCCTATGAACAGACCATGCCTTTATTAACTTATGTTAACTTATACATTCTGTGTGTTGCTGTAAAATTTACTGGGTGTGCTGGTAATATCTTCAAATCCATCTCGTGGTTTCGTATGACCTAAATCGAGAAATTTGTAAATGCGGAATTTGCAGTGTTTATTCTGCTATTTCGTTGATGCAATTTTACAAAAATTCTTAATATAACTGATGATTCAACATGTGCGTTAAATATCTTTTTTTTATATGCGCGAAGCATCTTTTCTCGTACGTATATAACAATAACAATAAAAAGTATGATCGATAATAATATATTTCAGTAATGTAATGGAAGCAGTAGTTGTGGAAACAAGAATATCAATTGGTTTTGAAAACAAAAACAATGCTATGTTTGGAATATTCCTCTGTCATTCGCCTAAAAGGATTGAATGAATGGTGTTAACATTTCATAACAACAAAATACAAACTTAAAAAATATATTATTTTCTTACAGCGTTGTCAATTTTATTATTAATATATTAAAATGCTATCCAGTTCAAAATTAGCTTCAAATTTTGTTATTACTGGAACTCTTTATGTTTTAAATCGGAGTGAAATTCTACAAAATATTGTCGGTTTATTCTAGAAAAGGTTTTCAACACCTTTAGACTTGCCCAAGCTCTCGTTAGGAAGCATGTTTCCGAATGCAAATCTGTAGTTGTACAAGTGACAAATGACACAACGTTCTGGACCTCAAACGACCTACCTAGAAGTTATGTTTCAAACTCTTCCTGTATGTATGTATTTATTTTTAAAAAGGGCACTTTAAAGAATGCAATTTAATTTGTGCAGGGCAAAAAAATAGTCATTAAATAATCATTTTTAAAAATCGCAAGTGACCCAAGGCGCCGTCTCTCTATGGAGGTGGGCCATCCATATAACCAAAGTCGCTTTGGAAACCGCAGCCCGAAAAACTATGGATCGTTTTCCTTGTATCTTGCCTTATTGTCTATCGAACAGTTTATAACGATTTCCTCTAATTATATGTCCCAGGTAGACAGTTAGCCTCTCTGTTATGATGAGCTAGATTTCTTTTTGTTTGTGCGTCCCGTTGAGAACCTCGCAGTTTGTGTAAGAACATTTCGAAAGCGTCTGCTTTTTCGATACTTCAGTCTAATGTCCAACCTTCACATCCATATAGGAGGCCAGAGCGAAGCAGCGTAACATGCGCATTCTGTAGGGTCAAATCAGATTTTACAAATCTTTTCCTTTTCCTAAAAGTTCTTTTTGCTTGCCCGATTCTGGACGTCACCTCTTGTTCGATGGTTCTACCATTTATCTGCAGGTCTTAGAAAAGTTCGCCAAGAGTCCAAATGCTTCACTATGCTGAACTATGCGGTCCATTATTCATTGGAGGTTTGGTAGCGTATCTGCTATGACAATGCGTTATATCGTAGATTTCTATTATATTGCCATTTATTTTATTACCGTTACTTTCTTGCGATAAAACTTTTTATAGATGGATTCAGAGTAGATATTAAATAATAAAGGAAATAATAGACAGTACGCTTCTGAGATCTGAGGGATGATTTTAGCAATTCTATTAGTTTTTCGTATCTGACACCATCAAACGCCTGCGTGTAATGGATAAAGCAGGCGTAAGTTGAAAAGCGCCTGCCTAGTACTAAGTCTAGTAGTCTTCGCATGCTATGAGAAAGGGATGAAAAAAAAGGAAACTACATTTATTTTTATATAGTTGAATTTATTTATCGGCGAAGAAAAAGCAAACTCTGTCAAAACGCAATGCTACAATGGGGAAAAGTCTCAAGTTCAATCGAAATCTTGTGTTAATGAGGTGCAGTCAGTTTCTAATTTACCGATGTGGGTTCTAATTGAGAGCCCAGAACAATATCTTCGACTGCCTACGGAAATAAATTTAGTCTGTTATTTTTTTTTAAATTAAATTTAATTTTAAATATATTTCAAACGTTTTTACTAATGGCAAGTGTATTTTCATACTTGATTTACCAAGATTTGATGCCAATTTATAAAAATGGATGTATAGATTACGTCATACCCCGTCATATCCATACAAACCATACTAAACAAATTTTGATTCTAAATTTCCAAATAGTTTGGTCTTATGATGATGCAAAAGTGACGATTCTCCATTCAGGCATTGCCTCAGAGTTATGTTGCTATTTTAAATTACCGCGAAAAAATTATATAATCAAATTTGTAGCGTTTTAATTTCGCAGAATCTTTTGTTTCCAAAATGACTGTTTTATTATTTTTGTCCGGTACAACCACTTTGTTTTTACCACATTTACTTTCGATGATGCCATTTTCATAAGAGAATTTTTGAAACGGGCGGTACTCCGGATCAGCTAATGTGAGTTCTGTGTTGCTTCCCTTGCATCCACCTTTTACTGCAACCGATTTTCTAAAAGAACGTCATAGAAAGTTTCCTTTTTACCATCGGTATCTACTTGCGACTATAAGGTCATTTGTTTATATTTGTGGCTAAAGATTTATCGACTAATATAGGAGTGTGCGATGGCGATGTGCATATATTTTGTGATTTCTAGTAGCTTTTCAAAAACTAACCCAAACCGAGGATATAGGTGTCAATATTGAAGAATATAAGAGTACTGTGTATTTTTTCTATTCGACACAAACTAAATTAGAACAAAAAATGTTCATATTTTCACAGTTTTTAATGCTTTATGACAGCTGTTTCGGCAACAAAGTGCCTTTATTAAATACAAAATATGACTATATTCCGACACTTATATATAAAAACAAGTAGTAATAGATTTAGAATTACAGGTATAGAGGTATAAATTAAATTTAACAACGGAGACACATTTAAATCCAATTGGTCCTTAAGTAATAAATTTAAATATCTCACTTTGTTAATCTCCATAGCTTCCAACAAATTTAGTTTTTTGCTTTCTGAATGATTATGTAAAATATGAAAATTATCGTCAAAGTTGTGCATTTATGAATTTAAATGAATGGCATACTTAGAATCCGAACTTTTATTTTTATACTATACTATAACTTTTTTTGACAGATTTTTGAGTTTTTCGTAATTTAGTTTTCTTGTTTTTTAGAAAATGTACTACGGTATTTTCAGTTTGAAAAGCAATATTAATACAAATTTTATATAGATGTTTCGAAATTTTCTTGCTAGGTTCTCCTATGTATTTTATTGTTTTATAACTTTTGTTTTCGGTGTTTAATATGGGATAAATAGAGTTCAGAGTTATTTGAAACTGCATTTTAGTTATAATCTTATCTATCAAAGAGGAGTGGTAACCACTGTTAAAAGCTATTTGTTTTATAATTATTAATTATTAAATTTTCTGTAGAAAGTGGTTGATAAAAGCATAAAATTCAGACATTTTGTGTGCTTACTGGTAATTTGAGTTATTACGTATTATTGTGTCCGTGTGTGAGGGTTTATGGTAAATGGAAAAATCTAACTTGTTCTGTAGTTCAGTTATAGTTAAGTCCAGAAAGTCTAGAGAGTTATCTTGTTTCGTCTCAATGGTAAATTTTATGCAGTTATGTATGGAGTTAATATGATTCAAAAAGGACTGCAGTTGTCTTTCGGATCCAGTGAAACCAGCAAAAACATCATCTGCGTATCTATACCACCAGAGAAATCCTTTACTAGAGGATGTTTATGTATGATATTTTCTAAATTGTCCATGAAAATTTCTGCAAGTAGTGGACTAAGTGGGTTTCCTATAATTAATCCTTCTTTAGCAATATAAAATTGACTATTAAATTCAAAATAATTTTGGTCTAAACAAACTATTAAACTATCTAGCAAGTCTTGTTTTATGATACGGTTAACTTGCCTCTTCGTGAGGTCTTTATGTCTATTACGTCAATTGGTGGAATGCTAGGAAATAAATTTTGAACATCAACTAGAATTGCCTTAGGAGGAATTTTTATGTCTTTAAACTTGTTAATTAGTTCCAATGAATTTTTGATAGCATTTCTAGGTTTAAAGGCAGTATTGTATTCTCAAATTTTAATTAATTTTGTTGAAAATTTAACTGATGGTGCTGTTGCAAAAGAAACTACATGCGTTATTGGCATATGCTGTTTGTGTAATTTAATTAAAGAATATAACTTTATAGGTGATGAATCGGTAATTACTGTCTTGATTTGTTTTTGATATAATTCGGTGGGATCATATTGTATACTGTGGTATATATCTGGATTAAGAAACTGTTTGGTTTTTGTAATAGATTCTAGACAATCGATAGTAATGACTGTCTTTCCTTTATCTGCTCTTGTATATAATACATTATTTTGGGAAGCCTTTTTTTTAATTGATTTTACCATAGACATATGTGAAAGATCCTTGAATTTGCTACTATTATGAGAAATTCGACTTTATTACTTAACGATAAAGCCATCATACAGCATTAAAAACTGTGAAAATCCAAACATTTTTTGTTCTCAGTCCGATTTTTCTATTCGATGCTATCAGGGTTTAAAGTGTACACATTTTTGTCAAAGCATTATAACTACAAAAGCACCCATATTGTAATTTAACAAGAAGACGAAAATATTACCGGAAAGTAACAAATATCTGCACTAAAGCTTTCTACGGAATCAGTTGATCAATATAGAACCGAAGACAAACATGGGAAGTCATCGTCTTCAAGTACATTGATTTTGTATAATTGATATGCAAAAGTTGAAATAATTATTTTTTATACGCAGATCTATAGTGATATTTTCAGAAGTACGAATTATCATTTTATATTTACTAGCGATTTTTTAGTTCAAATCTCGCAATGCAATGAGACCAAACAACCATAAAGGATATATAGGGATATATAGGACGTTCCTTTCCACCTGACTCCATAATTAAGTGAACGAGAAGAATAATAATCACAAAAACAGTAAAATTTTTTCAAAATTTCTCATTTTACTGATCTTGGACTAGGAGATAAAATCCTGCACTTAACAGGGATTAACACGTCGTTGTCAGATTGGTATTACCCACCCGGTATCTAAGCTATTTAGCCCGGTTCCATGTGTGAAAATTCCTGCTTTGTCCTTGGATTGTACCAAACTGACTGCATCTTTACCTATGTACAATCTGGTTTCAGCGTGCTGCAGATGAAACGGAAAATGATCCAGTCCTAAAAAAATATTGATAATTTATGTTTTAACAAACAGACCATAGGACATCCAGACTGGTACAGTGTAAACAAGCTTAAGGAGATCTCACGGAGGCCATACCTGCCGATGTCCCCAGGAAATTCGATCTCTACAGGGCGTTTTCTAATTGAATGTCAATTATTTATATGAACATTTGTAAATATACATAGAAGGTTGACTGAAAGAGGGACTCTGAGGGCAAATAATCATTTAAAAGGATCCCGTCGGACTCCAGACATTGAAGAAGCAATTTTAAATTCATGGTTTAGAAAATTTTGCACAATTTTCGATTGTACCCATATCATATTCAACGAGTTTAAGCGTTAATTCCAAGAGATTTTCTCTTGCGTATTAATTTTTGGCAATGGTTTTGGACAAAATGGCACATATTCTCTTTGTAGAATTTAAACATTAAGAACCGTTTTTGGTAAATGTTTGACCTGGAATTGTTGGAAATTACTTATTTGGATCATTTTCTCTGCCAGAAAAGCTAAATGGTCATAACCATTGCCGGTTTTTGAGAACACGATTTGCCAATGTTGCCAGAAGAAATACCATATTTAATTAGGAACAGAACGTGGTTCATGCGTACCAGCTCTCTTGTCCACTTATGTCTTCCAGTAAGAGAATATTTAAACCACGCATTTAATAACCGATACGTCAACCGTGGCCCTCCAGATCCCCAGGTTTAAATAGTTTGGACTTTATATTATTGGTATGGTTTTTTAAAAATGAGAATCGTTTATTACTTATCTTTTTGTTAGGATGTTATGTTATCTCATTAAATCTTTCATTAAGTCTTCAAATTTCCATGCATGGTTTAGTCATGAACTCCAGGACTTAATTGTTATGAAAAAAAACTGAGCACACAAAATACAAGCAAACTAACAACATTGATGATTATTTTTATTTCTGTGGCTTAAGCGATACGTGTAAGGCACTGCGTAGTGCTACAGTGCATATAGAATGGGAATTTATCAGGATGTCATGTATGACCCAAAATCTTTTTGGAAACATAAATAATTTGCATAAGTGCATATCCCGGTAATATGTATTTGGGTGAGGAGGTTGCCGACAGTGGTCATGATATTGCTACCTTGTTTGCAAAGCACTTTGCTTTTACTTATGAAAAGTGTGAGGGTGTGACTCCTAATTCTAGTTTGGACTATAGTTTAAATTTCAACTCCATGAGCATTTCGCTTACTGATTTTGTGTCTTATGAACTTACAGACTGGATTTTAATATTTAATCTGTCCTTGTCCTCAGGTATTTTTCCTGACTTTTGGAAGGTTAACTATTTGGTACCGATTCATAAGAACGATGTCGCTAATTATAGAGGCGTGTGCATACAGTCGGTGGTTCCTATACTGCTAGATAAGTTATTTTGTGAGATACTTTCGTGGCATTGCAAGGGAATTCTGGTTGATCAACAGCATGGATTTGTACGGGGTACATCTAGCGTAACAAATTTACTCACCTACCAATAATTTTTATTGAACGCCTTTGGGGGGCTTGGTCCGGTGTATTGTGTTTACACTGATTTGGGGCTTAGAGCTATGGGGCTGGGGGCTGGGGTGGTGCAGTGGATTCAGTGTTTCCGATCTGAACATACTCAGTTGGTTTGTATTCATAATTATGTCTCGGGTAAAATTTATATTTTTTCGGTAGTCCCCCAAGGTTCTCGCACTGAACCCATCCTTTTAAATTTGTTTATGAATAATTGGATCGTGCGAGGATGCTCTGCTGTTTCAGAAGGGCGTGGACAGTGTTTGCATGTTGTCTAACATGTCTTGCGCTCATTGTAAAAAATTGCTGTAGTATCAGCTTTAATTATTCGTTGAGTATGGTTCATAGCAGATATAGCATATAGATAGAGGTCGTCACTAGCATTGGAGACTTCAGTATTTTCTTCGACTCTAAACTAAGTTTTGTAGTGGTAAACAGGTCTATGCGAGCCTTTGGGTTTATTGTACGCAATAGCTTACTCCACATTGGTTCGCAAAATCTTTAGCTTAAAAGTCGCATATCGATATCTATAGTGGGTATCAGATCTACATTATTATAACTAAAACTTTCAATATTGATATTCCTCAAACCAGAAGATTTCAGAGTGATTTAGTCTTTCTCTTTAAGATTCAGAATGGTTGGGATTATTGTCCAGCTCTTTTACATAGTGACGCATTGACGCATATTCTAGAAACTGTGATAACTCAATGTTCCGCATACCTTACGATCGCGCAAATTATGGAGTTTTTTCATCCCTTACTAGAATGCTAAAAGCGTACAACTGTCCAAAGCTTGATCCTTTTGTCGGCAGCCTCTGCTCATTTCGTTGACTTAATTCTATTTATTGTTGTTTTTATATTTTGTTCTGATGTCTAGCTGTTACACTGCTGTCCTTCTCTCTCTTGGCCTTTAATGCATGTAAAAGTTTTGTAAATTTTTTATACCGCAAATAAATAAATAAAACAATTTTTTTTTCTGAAAGTCACTGGTTGTTAACCGAAAACTAGATATTTTATTTTTTTCAAAAAAATATCTCGATTTAACCAGTGTAGTGGCGACCACACTAACCAAAATATAATTTGTGGCACGCCACTAATTTCTTAAAAAAAAATAATGACGTCTGCCTCCATTTATGAGCAGATTTGATCTCTTAATTTTTTTGTCCATCATACAATTTTCACACAAAAATAAAAACTTTGCTTGCTATCGTATTGATATGACCGTGCAGAGAAAGGTTAAGCCGTTTAGGCCGTACGTTCATATAATGTTACATTTTTAAAATGGACCAAAATTATTGGAAATGGTTGATTTGAATTATTTTAAAGTGAAATGATAAGCAGGTAATGGTGGCTGTATCATCTTTTTGACAATTTGTAGTGCAGTTCTGTACTTTCTCATTTGATTAAGAAGTTCTAGTATTGTAGATATGTGGTCGAATAATGCTGACATAAGTTGGAAATGTTTTTTTGAGAGAGTACAAAGAAACACCAACTATCTGGGTAGGTCTTTAGTTCTCGAACCTTGCCTCGAACTGTGTTTGTGTTAGTGGTCGCATATCAGAACTAGACATAAATTCATTCCTTACCGTAGCAACTTTTACATAGCGCCAGTAGGGACAATAGGAACCACAAAAAGAACATTCTTTAAAAAATCCGAAGCAACTCTTAACAAGTTCAAGTTAGTACGTACAGCAAAAGTTACACTGACTCGTTACAGTTTGGTCATTGATTATGATGTGTGCTTATTGTTTACAGTGTATTAATTTGTTTTAAAAATCTAATTAGTGCGGACGAAGGCGTCATTACAAATTGGTTTGGATATATAATTTCTAAACGCTTAATGAGTGGTTCTCCTAATGAATGAAGTTATCTAGGCGATAAGTGAGGGCATATATATATATATATATATATATATATATATATATATATATATATATATATATATATATATATATATATATATATATATATAGGTTTTCAACAAAAACTGATAACAAACAAACTAGCTTTGCATACTTTGTCTATTAATTATTATTAAAATTTGTTTCCATATGGTGCGAGAATAGACAACTTAATATAAACAATAAAGCAAATAAAATAGACAACCTTAGACACTTTGAGTAATAATCTCAGATAAGAGAACTTTTATTAATGTGTAATAAATTTTATGGTATATATGGTTTTCATGATTTGTTTTGGCATTTATAAAAAAAAATGGTAAATGCAACAGATGGAAGATTTACTCTCTTATTTTATTCAAATAATCCAAGTAACTCAAAATAACATTTGTAAGTATGTCAAAATATCCCATTACAGCCTGTACATATATGAATCCCACAAATATTAATTTTAATGAAATACGTTTTGCATTATGCTCAACAAAAACGCCGCATAAAATCTTTGTGTTATGAGTATGTCATTAGACAAGAATGGGTAATACAAAACAAGTATATGAATTACGAAAGAGTTGTTTGTTTTAAATATTCACTTATTGATCCAAAAGAATTCAATGAGTTTCAAGACAAGACAGTAATTTTAGAATCACATGGGAATTATAAATACTACTTGTACTTTTGACTGGTTATAAAAGTAACGTATGTACGTTATATTATAAATAGTAGATTTTACCTATATTATATGTTACACCTCTTCTATGAAATTGATATACATCACCACACCACACCACAGCTTTCCAGCGTAGAAAAAAAGTGGAATACATGGTATACTTACCATCAATGATCTTAACCTCATTGCCCCTTTTTTTGTTTTGGTGGCACCTGTTCTTTTATATTCGGCGTCTATTTCTTCAGCGTTTTTAGTAGTTAAATTGGGAACTATATATCTACGGCGAAAGATTTAATCTTTTTGCTGGCGATTTCCTAATCGCAAGTGGCGTGGTTTCCGATGCGTTAGGTTTTCCCACGCTTCATCATTCGAAATCCACAGAATTCGAAAAAAACCCCGCCCCAGACAGGAAAAATTAATACCTTTATGTAGTCTGGTGTTTACGAAGATTGTCTTAGTGTCCTTTTGGGTAAATATCGTATCGTATTGTATCGTATGTACCAAAAAATTGCCCCTATTGACCCTCTTAAATTGAATAACAGACGGGTTGCTTTGACGGCGGTTGCAAGAGCAGTTTCGACGGTTGAAGGAGTGCTTAGTTTTTATCGTAACTTTGAGCAATGTATTTTAGGCAAAATACACCATTCAGATTGAATATATAGTAGATAGACTGTGTTATGCTTTGATGCTTCTTTGGACTCTTACTCATTTGGGAAAGATTTGGTTGATAGAATGAAATAGGAAAAAGTCATTGGCAGATCAGTATCCGAGTTGAAGAAATGTGTGTCCAGAACAATGTCTTTACAGCATAGCGAAAGTAATCGTACCCTCGTAAGTAAGCAAGTACTTTTGCTGAAGTATTACATGAGTTTCGGGACGTTGGAATTCTATAACTCAAGATTTTATCTCGACTAGATGGATATAAAATTTGCGAGGCCAGTTATACAGGTTAAACACCTGACATAAGGGTACCTTACTCTTGTGCAATTTTTATATATTTTGTCCTACCCTGTATGTTGTTTGACTTGAAAATATTTTAAGTGCACCTAATATGATTATGGAACATGCACCAACTTTTGGCAATAGCATTTGGGTTTGGCAGTAAAAAAATAACATATATTGAACACAGTACACTGATGATGTATAAAGCTATGAACGAAACCGCTTAAATTAAAATTTTGAGAACGCTATCAACTACAGCCTTTAATTTAGATTTTAGTTTATTTTATTCAAATTTATTGACAATACTAGTAAGTTAACTACAAATATAAAAAAAAGTATAATACTTTATATAATATTAAAAAGGAATAGTGATACATCAAAATGAATTTTTTAAAAATGAGAAAGTAATCGATAAATGGTAAAAAAAAGAAATGACAAAACCAGCTCATTAGACGTGAAAGACCAAGAGCATTCGTTAGTATTATAGAAGAAACATATGAAATTTTTGTTTAATACTGAACAAGCTAAACAAGAAGGAAAATTTTTTACTGCTTTATTTAGGCACCAATCAATACAAAAAGAAAAATTTAGCGATCAAGTTGTCCTGCGAATATTTTGGAAAAAACACTGGCGTCAGAATCCGTTGATGAGTCCACTAGTATAAGCCCGTCTTTATTTTTATTGATATTGAGAACTTTTTTTGTGTCACATACGGTCTCAATCAGACCGCTTCTATCAAAAACGAATAGTTGACTCTTTTCGAGATTTTTTGCTGGTTTGAATAGTTGACTCTTTTCGAGATTTTTTGCTGGTTTCATTGCAATCTTAGTTCCGTCGCATCCACCATCGATATCTACCGCATTTCTGAAAATATATTGAAAACTTGATTGTTGCTCCAGTGAATAGACCTGTTTATTGTTATATTTTATGTAACTATTTATTTAATTAGTATCTTGGTTAGTTATGCAATTGGGAATAAAATTGATCAGTGAACTGAGAAAGTTCAATGCAACAACATTTCAGTTACTGCTGTTATAATAGTAATGGGACATATATATAAAGCTTTTTCTTTTAGATCGATAATCTAATGTATGTATATCTAATGCTAAAATTTTCATCCGCAAAACAAACAGAAGAAACAAAGAAATTTGGAAATTAAAAACTTTCTCACGATAATTTAGAATATACAAGCTTACGCAATAAAATTTACGAAATCATTCATGACAATCAGGATAATGATATTACGGTATTGGTTGAAACAGTAATTTTAAATGAAAAAAATAAATATCACCTCAATAATTATTGGATGTTACCCCGCATACTAGAGATGATAAAGGAAAAAAAATAAGTCTATAAAAAGTTAAAAAGATTCCCTCATAATAAAAATGTCACCATCGGACTCATACAGAGTTTTGCTTTAGTATGCTAAAAGTTTAACTAATTTCTAATTTGCTAAACATTGAGCAATAAAACGAAGGCTCTCTATAATCCCATAATTGGATCATCAATTCCATCTAATAACGTACCAACGATCATAAAAAGTCAAGTTATCTATAAACCCGTTTATAGGAAAATTCAAAGCTTATTACTGTTGCCTCTAATAAATATCTAAGTGCCTCCAATACCGATACTTAACGTATTGTCTAGGAGGTGTTTGGTTTTTTTTAGGTTGGTTACAAATTAGTTAAAAAACTGTCACAATATACCGACCTAATGAATATAAAACCAAAACCAATTAAATAAAATAACATGATGAAAAGTGTTTTGTCGCCTAACATCAAATGAACCAAAAGTTTCATCAAGTGTACTGCGTCTTTTTACTTCATAATATATGATAACAACATTTACTCGGTTGAGTCTTTTCAACACAGAAGGAAGGATCCATCCCTTGGACTTCAGAAAAACACCATGAGAGGTTATAAAACAACAAATCCTATTTGCGGACCTTCATTTTATGGGTAACTCCGAAAAAAATTTGTGTAATAATGTATGGAAAAAACAAATCACAAGCACAACTAACCAAAACTCATTTTTAGTCGCACGATGATTATACAAATGTATGGAGCAACTCACCCCGTCTTTAAACTAATTAACTTAGCTCCATCATCGTCGCTGTAAACAAGTTTCGCATTTTCGTCGACGAATAATCCAGACTGATCATGCTGTAGTATATACGTATTTACCTTATCCATGTATAATTCTAACGATAAGATAACTATTATAATACAATTGTGAAAAAAGGTTTTGCTTACCCCCATAGTCTTGTTCAATTAGAGAAAATTTAGTTTGCTTCGTGTCTGTTGAGTCTTTTTCTACCACAATGACTTTCCTGCTGTTTTGGTCCCGAGACAGCACTTTTTTCGAATCACATTGGGTACCAATGGTGCCGTCTTCGTTAATAATAAATTTCTGATTTTTGGCTTCGGGATTCAATTTTTTAAAGACGACGTCGGTGCCAGAACAATCATTTTCGATTTCCAGTGCTTCGCTAAAAATACCGGTAAATGCATTTTTCCTTTTCAGACTATGAACACACATTTCAATACTACGGGGGATATATTTGTTATAAGAAAAGTTAGTTTAACTTACCACAAAGTACGATAGTCTAGTTTTTTGGCGACTTACCGAGAATCCTCTGCTACGATTTGAATCACTTTATCTCTATGGTTGCGGTAAAATTCAACCCGTACCGCTTTGTCTTCTGGTTGTATCAATCTTGCCCTTTTGCTTAGATATAACTTCGAATCAGTATGCTGAACGACATAGTTCTTTGGATATTTGAACCCATAATCTTCAGAAAGAGGGAATTAAAATCTTTTGTTGTCATCGGTGAAGTAGTCTTTTGTAATTCCAGACAAGAGTACCTTTCCAAACTTTGAAAAAAAACTGAAGTATATTTTTCTTCACATGATTTGCCCATGATATGCAGATTCAAAAAAATAGTTTGTGACTGTGTTTATCATTCAAATAACTAAAGTATGGTAAAGTATTCAAGTTTTAGCAGTTGGCAGTTATTTGTAAAACAAAAACCACAGAAATGTGCTTGATCTAAAAGCTACTGCTGATTCTCATTTACATGGTGTCCAAGTCAAGCATGCTGACAGTTACTTTGGGGTCTATTATTGATTACATTTTCTTCATAATTTTTAAAACATGGGAGATAGTATAGTGTATTCTAAGAGAGGAATCACCACACAATTTAAAAGTTTTCGTATTTAAGTTTGCCAAATTAATTGCTGCGTTTTTCCTTTCCATGACACATACTGCTGTCACATTAGAAATTTACATTAGAAAGATTCATTTCTTAACTAACTAAATAAAAAAATTACAATTCTAGCCATTCGTCGAAAGTACAAAAAGAAATACTAAAAAATTATTCGACATATGACAGAATTCAGAGTTTACTGTGAGTAAGTTGTATTTTGTATTACTCATTTTTCGTGCAGTCTGCGTCAATATTTTATTTCAATTTCGGGCTCTAAGAGTTATTTTCAGATTTGAAGAAATTAACGAAGATTAAAGAGAAATCAGAAAGAGGTCTAAAATTTTTATTCTTTCTGTGTCTCTTATAGTAAATATAGATGTATGGAAGCGGCAGTACTTCATATTTTGTAAAAAATGTATGACAAGATTGCGGTAGCAGAAACTTAACCACAAAGCACCGTGCAGTATTAATAGCAATAAGTATATTTTAAATATTTTCGCAACATTTTCCAACTCTAATAGAAACGAATGCAAATAATTAAATTCTTACCGCTATCGTCGCATAGACCATCAGAAACCAATAGGCAAAATATTAGGGTCACTAAATTCGAGGAGTCCATATTAAACTTCGGTGTGCGGAGTGGGTTCTGCCAAGAAATAGACTGCCAAATTCATATGTTAATAATGCATAATAAATTAAACCGACTGTTATTATTTTATAATAAAAAAAAATACCATCCTTGCCTGGTACTAATATGATAAAACGTGACGACTGAGCGTAAAAAACACACCTTTAAAATGCTCATTATACTCGAACTTCTTCCTACAAATTTGGCCTTAGCAATTAAAAAAGATACCAGCTTAGCTCAGAAATTACTTTTAATTGCTTTTTGAGTAGGCGACACCGACAGCGCATGAATTTTGAAAAGTATCGGTATAGAGAAGTTTGAATAAAATAAAACTGAACAAAAATTATTAAATAAACTAACCGCTGTCTTTAGGTTTGAAATAATTAAATCGAATAATGTTATAGAAGGTGTGTTAGTTTTGATTACTATTTGGCAACTCTGTTCTGTTTTAAACTCCGCATTCTGGATACTTTCACTGAAATTCGGAAACATATACAGAATGATTCATATTACAGCTACATTTTGAAAAACACGGCAATGTGGTTTTTTTATAGGGTTAGCGCTCTGTTGACAAACAAGTTGACGGAGTATTTTCCTAACAATCGTGTTTTCATTTTGAAAGTGTTTGAAGGCTGGTTTATTTATCCATAAGAAGTTTCTCTATACTATTTCGCCGTTTATTTTGATGCCGTTTTTTAAACCCTGTATTATATACAGGACTTCAAGCCTACAGCTTTCTTTGCCGCACCCCGCATTTCGTACGCTAAACTTTTCTATCCGTCCACTCGTCTTCCGCTTCTTTTATTTAGCGCTTTTTTCGGCTACCTGTCCTGCTCCATTCTCATCACATGTCCGTACCATAGTAATAGTGTTGTCTGTATTCTCTCTGCAGTCATGTATACTCTCCCTGTTCTTCGTCGTATGTTTTAAGTTCGTATATGTTGTGTTCTAGATATCCTTCAGGATCTTCTCAGATAGTCCATTTCAATAGCATCAATTTGTTTTTCCTGTCTGTCCTTCAGTTGCCAGCACTCGCATCCATAAGTTAGAATGGGCTCTACTATAACTTTTTAGATTGTCAATTTTGTATATAACCTAATTTTTTCTGACCGAAGCAATGAGTTTAAAATTCTTGTAGCGTTTTTTCCTTGTTACTGTCTATTTTTTATGTCTTCTTTTGTTGTTCCGTCTTCTGAAATTATGATTCCAAGATATTTATACTGTCATCCCTGTAATGCTAAGTTAAATATTTTATGGTCAATAATGTAGGCAAGAGGACGCAGCCCTGCCAAACACCCCTCTCTATTTCGATATACTCATCCCAAACCTTGATCTTGTCGGCTTGTCTCCAATATCCTATCCAGTTTTTTTGAGAACATTTATCAATATGTCATGTTTAGTTCGGTCGGAGGCCTTTGAGTAATGAAGTAATCAGATATATACATGGCTATTACCATCTCTGCATCGCTGCAATGCGAAGATATATTTTTATTCCCACATTGCACACATAAGTTTGCACTTCCCTAGGTCGACGATTTTTAAATATTCCTTGTTTAACTATGAGTTTATAATCATCACACAGTTTGCCAGATTTCTTAGAGATTGCCAAGAAAGTCAGGTAGTGCATATACACTGAACGGCTAAAACATCAAACAAATTAATTTAAAAATCTGCTTTTGGATGCTCCCACTCGCCGATCATATTTTTTGTTGTTCTTTTTTCACACTAAATAGAAAATGTACATGGTGTGCAAAGAAGTAGATGTGCATCATTTTTTTAAATGAAACACCGTTTTTAAAAAATTCATGTTCGGATACTGGTAAAAAATTTTGCTGTTCGCTGTATAGTCGTAGAGCCCAGTTAGCATGATAATGAATTTAGAATCACTCTCGCAAGAACTTTTAACATTTCTCCATGTATTTCATCGGAAATTTTTGTTGTTTTTTGCTTTATTTACAAATGTCATTAATAAAAGGTTAAACAATTTTTAAACCTAACTTATTAGGCGTCAATTACCTACAGCATTCGTTAGTGTTATGAAAAACCCAATATTGTAATCTCTGGATCCCTCCTATATCAGTTGTTTATAAATCAAACAAGTTGAAACTGGTTTCAGTTTAGTCCTGAAGAAGACAACAGGATGATTGGCGAAACGTCGACAAGTTTGATTTATAATCATGAGGAATCCAAAAGATTTATAAGTGGTCTCACAGCAACCTACGAAAGCTTGAAAAATTATAAAAAACACGTCAAATTTTGTTTAATACTGAACACACGAAACAAAAACGAAAATTTTCCAAACGCTTTATTTACGCAACAATCAATTCAAAAACAAATTTATCGATCAAGTCATCCTGTTGATATTTTGGAATATGCACTGGCGTCTGAATTCGCTGATTAGTCCGCTAGTATAAGCCCGTCTTCATGTTTATTGACAGTCGGAACCTTTTTCGTGTTCCATACGCTATCAATCGGGATGATTGGATCAAAAATGGATAGCTCTTTTCGAGATTTTTTACTGTCTGAAATTAATTAATTTGTGAAGATGTACTGAAAACATCATTCTTGCACAAAGAAGTAAGCTTGTTTTTTATTATTTTTTATTTAATTATTTATTTAGCTAGCATATCTTTAGATATGGAAGAAAGTTAAATACAATAGAGTAACAAAATTTTTTGGTTAATAATTTATTTATGAGAGTTGGTTTCTCTCCTGGCATCAATTGAACCTGAGTGCCATTAGCTGTACTAAGTACTTCAGAATTCTGCTAGAGAAGAAAGAAAATATACACACTGAATCGTACTTTTCCGTTTACGAATATACTAGGAGGTTTTTTAAAACACCAAATCCTATTTTCTGATCTTCATTTTGTAGGTAACTCCCAAAAAATATTGTGTAATAATGTATCGAGAAAATACATCAGTTCAGAGATAAGAATTTGCATGTAAGCACACATAAATTACAGTAACGATGATGGTAATCATTCAATAATGATTACTAAGCATTCGATAACCGGATTTTCAAAGATGCATTAATATTATTTAATCTGAAACTCTTGTTTTAGAATATTAAATATATAAATTTAATAATGCAATTGCATTGCAAAATCTCATTTTCGCTTGCACTGAGTATAGAAATGTTTTGGGCAACTCATCAGTCCTTAAGGTAATGAACTTAACTCCGTCATCTTCGGTGTAGTCAAATTCGAATCTATCTGCTTTACCTTTATGAGCAACAAGTTTTGCATTCTCGTCAACGAATAATCCGGACTGATCGTGCTTTAATTTATAGGTATAGGTTTGCCTCTCGTCTTTTTCTACCATAATTACTTTTCCTACTTTTTTTCGGATAGCATTGGGTACCAATACCAGTATCAATAGTGCCGTCGGCGTTGAAAATAAGTTTTTGATTTTTGGCGTAGGGATTCAATTTTTTAAGCTTCACCCACATGACATCTGGGTGGATTGAGTAGCCCAGAGACTGTGTTGCCGGTCCCAAGACCGGATGAACAGTTGTAGCGGTAGATCAGCTTCCTACCCTGTATAAAAACAGAACAAATTGGCAAATATAGCGGAGTACTCAAGGAAGAAAGAGCCAATACTCAATAAAGCATCAGTTAAAAATAAAATAACGGACTGGGAAACAATTAATGAAAATATGCTAAAAGTAAAAGTGTTAGTGGTATATCGCATATCAGATGATGAACCGGCAGCTAAAAAAGCGCATTTTTTGAAATCCTTAGTGAAGTTGGAAATTCAAAGCAATTGGTCATAATGGGCGATTTGAATGCATACACAGAAAAGCAAAAGAAAGGAAAGGTAAGCTAAAGAATATCGGAAAAGAAGAAGACCAAAATCCTATTGGAAAGAGGGCGTAACAAAAGCGATGAAACCTGCAAGACGTCGATTGGGAAGATCGAAACAGGTGGAGCCAAGGCGTCGGACAAGGACAAAAGACGTTCTACACCGAATACATACATTCAATTTTTTAAAGACGCCGTCGATTCCAGAAAAATCATTCCCAAATTCAATTGCTAAAAGTACCGGTAAATGTATTTTTCCTTTTCAGTCTATGAGTACTTCAGAGTACATTCGGTATAAGAGAAATTAATATAATTAACTACGAAGGATCAATAACCCAATTTCTTTTGGACTCCACTCCATGATTGCGTTATAGTTCAATCCGTATCGCTTTGTCCTCAGGTTGTATCATTCTGGCCCTTTTACTGAGATGTAACTCCGTATCTGTATTTTGGGTAATGTTATACTTTGGATATTTAAACCCCGAGAATTTACAGAGAGGAAATTAAAATCTGCTACTGTTATCCGTAAAGCAGTCTTTTAAATTTCCGTAAAAATATATACAAACTGCAAAGAAAAAAAATGTTTTTTATGTTTTTCTGTACACGACCGCCTTACTATAGTTTTTGTGACCGTAAATCTTCCTCCAGTTATTATAATTCAAGTTTCAGCCGTTCGCAGTAGCTCCTTGAAAATAAAAATCACAGAGATGTTTCATCAATAAATTGTCGATTCTCAATTACATGATGTCCAACAAAATGTTATGATGAAAATTACTTTGAGGTCCATGAGTGGCATAAAAAAATGCAATTGTAGCAAGCCGCTAGGTGTACGTAAATTTATAAAGAAAATACAAAAGAAATACTTAAGAAAAGCAATGTTCTACTCCAGTAAGTTGCAATTTTGGGTTCCTCATTTTTCGTAAAATCTCCGGCAATATATTGTACAATTTCAGCTGAAAGGACTACTTTCAGATCTGAATAAATCTAAGCTTAGGTCGTTAACGAAGATCTCTCGCATAAATCGGATAGACAGTGCAAGGTATCTTCAAAAAGTAAAGTGACTTTTGTAATTTTGCGATATTTTTTTTGTTATATTGGTACAAATGTCCCTAACACAGTTTCACTCAGTTTGCAGTTTTACTTTTTTTTTGTTGGACTGGAACGTTAGAAACGACATATGGTTAATCTATTTTCTGCAAAAAAATATGTTTATAAGTGGTACAAGCTATTCCAAGATGGCCAAGAAGACGCTGATGACGACCTCGACCGGGACTGATGAAAGCGTTTAAGAAGTAAAACAAATGGTGTTGAAAAATCGTCGAACCACTATTAGAGAAGTGGCTTGAATTGACTCG